ACTTTTTTTGGCTGCAACATACCCCCTCCAACCTATGCAAACAGCACCTTTTCTAGCGGCTGACGTAATCAACCGTTTCCTCCGTTAAGTTTAAAATGTTAAATGTCAATTTTCATTCTTAGACTTCTAATTTTAGATAATTTTAATTCTTAAATTATTTTATATTTTTTTTAATCCTCAATTTTTAAAAAATGCATATTTTTTTTTCCTTTGCATCGATTAAATCATATGTGGACGTTAACTTAATCTAAAAATGACATCTTTTTTTATGAAATGAAAATGACATCATGTAATCAACTTACATGACCAAAAAACAATTGTTCATGGTGTAAAAAAGATAATATAACAAATTAAGATAACTCTATTTTTAATTATTTTTTATCCAACCAATCATAATGAGACATGTGACGTTATTTTTAATTAAAATCTCACTTTATAATTTTTTATGCTTTTCCATGAATGGATGTCGAATCCAAGGCTCTGTCTTTAATTTTGATGCGGGGTTATGTGTTTTTTTGCAAAATCTAAACTATATATTGCATATGAGAATGAGTATTGTGGAGGGATATGTACGATATGTACTAGATAACTTAATGTGTTGCATTTTGTATTGCATACTCGCTGGGAAAGGTTGATATATTAACCTTGGCTTAGTATATATGGACATGAATACCTCTTTTATTTAATTTAGTAATAAATTTAATTTTATCTTTCAAAAAATATAAATAAATAATTTTTTTATTTATTTAAAACTTATAATATTAAATACATCTATTTATTTAATGACAAATAAAAATTAAATTAAAAAATTATATAAAAAATTATATCTATATAATTGCTTTTTAATTTATTTAGACAACTTAAAGTCACCATAATTTTTATTGAATTCAAAAATAATGACATGACATTTACTTTAAAAATAACTAAAAATTGATTTGAACAGAGAGAGTATAATCTTCATTAAATTCACTCATTGATGAAAAAATAAAAATAAAAAAATATCCATTTGTTTTTACAATAGACTTAACCTTTGCATAGACAATATTACAAGGTCCGCTACTGGAGGGATAATAATTCACTCTTTCTTCAAAGTTTCGATTAAGAATGATAGTGAGCCTTTAAT